CTGTTTTCTCTTTTTGCCGTTTGAGGTGGACTGGATCTTGAGCCGAAATCTCCGTACGCTTTGCGCAAGTGCTTGCCCCACGCGTTCACAACCAGATTCCGCGAGTCGGTATCCAAGTTGTGATACACTTATTTGTAATAGTTCAAACAGTGTCTTGGGCCTTCCAGATACTTCCCTCCATCTCCAAATACCTTCGCCATTTATTTGTAAACCGAACGTTGGAATGACAACGTTAACGTATGGCGGCACCATGTTTAGTAACATCGGATGCATCGGGGTTTCAAAGAGCTCTGAAAAGAGCTCCCGATCGTATACAGTTTGCTCAGCGATCGGAGGTTCAGCGAGCTCTGAAAAGAGCTCCCGATCACTGACACTTTGTTGGACGATCGGGGGTTCAGTGAGCTCTGAAGAGAGCTCCCGATCGCATACAGATTGCTGGGCGAACGGGGATTCAGTGAGCTCTGCAGAGAGCTCCCGGTCGCATTTAGATTGCCGAGCGATCGGGGATTCAGTGAGCTCTGAAAAGAGCTCCCGATCGCATACAGATTGCTGGTCAACGCGCGCCATCATGACTTAACTTAAATGAAGGTTTGACAGTTGATACACATAGCAGTTTTAAAATTCGTGGCAGCTGTGAATAATTTTAAAAGCGAATGAGTTTCAACAATGGGCATTGTTTAGTTTGACAGGTGTATTGTTATTCATGGTTAGGCTAAAGATAATGGCTCGCTCACCTAAAAAGCGCCACTTTTGAACGCAATTTCGACTACAATTTTTTAAACTGAAATGGATCAAGGTTCCCATTGGCCAATTTTCAAACTTAAACGGATTCTGTGAGAATAAAGATTAATCTTTCATCTGCCGCGCGTTGATTGTTCATGGATAGTAAGGGTTTTCAGAAAATGGGCCAGAAAATGACTTCCATACTAAAAATACCCGAATTTGGTGTATTTTCAAGTTCAAAAGGATAATACTTCTACTCTAACCTTCAAAAAGTACTATTCACCTGTGTGGTACAAACTAAAGGGAGATATTAGATGCTGATCACTTTTAGGGGTCAAAGTGTTAAGGAATTTTTATTTGCCACTTTACAATTGCTCATAGACCATTTGGTTTGTCGCCCTGTGTTTTGCATCACCATGGTTACTTCAAATTTCTCTGGTGACCTTAAGTTAAATACATAGTTTAAGAGTGTAGACAATATGAGTTATGAGCAATTAATACTTCAAAATAATTTCTTAAATAAGACAGTTGTAGTTTTGTGGTTTTTCCCTTATTTGTTAGATTATGTGCATCCAATTTAGCGACTTACATGCTGTGAGGAGAGACTGGCAGAGTGTCGATGAACAAATCTGTGGGTGAGGTGGGTGGGATGGCTTTGACGCCATACTTCAAAATCGATTCTCTCCATTTTTCACAATTTCAGAGGTTGGCATCAATATCTTAAGTGTTCGTGTAATGCTATGACTCAGCATTGTCTCTGTTGACCACAAGCTGTTAGGGCCAATAATTATCTATAAACCAAAAAAATCTTCTCATTAATTTTCTTCGCATGGCAGGAGTTGCACCATCTCATCAGCACTTTTAAAACACTCTCCTCATAAATGTACATGCAAACAGTGGCTATGCATACTGCGGAAAGCATACCTCAAATGCTCCTTTTCGAATTGTCAGCGATGCACACAAAGGAGTTAGTATGGGAAGGTCGTATAATATTCAGTGAAACTTACCTGAAAGATCTCAGTCGTCCTGTTTGAGCTCCATTGTGGTTTGAACAATAATGCATAGAGTGTAATCAAAATTTCACTTTTTATAAAGGTGCTCGTGAGCAAACATCATACGATCCTATTGACTATTTCAAAAAACCTGACACCTTGTTGATAATCTTCGAAGAAATTTTACCAAACGTTTTATGTCTAAACGGCGCTGAACGTTTTGGTTAATTATACAGTACTGTCTCTAGGAATTGCCCCTCAGTAAGAATATTATACACCTAATGTATGGTCCCGAAGGAAACAGTTAGTTGGCACCCGACCTTGTTTCCCCCTCCCCCCCCCCCCCTACCTTTCCCTGCCCCTTGGTTATGCCTATTCCTCCTAGCCAAGTCCAAAGCATACAGGACCCAGATGCCTGCCTCCTACCCCGAATCTAACACCTCCGGTCTACGTGTACAACTGCGTTTTACGTTAGCTTCACTTTTCCGGCAGCCAATTAGCTTTTCTACGGTTTTCTGATGGGGTTAGTTATTAATAGTGCATTGCTAGAATGTAGAAAACATATCTTTAAAATTAAAATTGTTTTTTCCTTGTTCGCGTTTTGGCGTGGAATGTCTTGTTTGGCGATACCCACGCAAGGTCTGTAACGTTATTTGAGAGAAGATGCATATGACAATTTTATGCTCTTTTTCGTTGTGAGTGGATGCAGTGGGAACGGCGATAAGTATGGGAGCGCTCTAACGAGACTAAAATCCTGCTGAATGCGAGCCAAACGGTTTTGCAGTTAATTGTTTTTCGACAACTTCTATCTTTAACGACATCGTTTCCGTAAGTAATAGATCACGAACATTGATTTACAGTAACTTGACAAACAAGCAATATGCAAGCTGCTTCATCAAACTACGCGAAACTTATTTTTTTTCCAAAAGCGTTAGGCAAGAGGAAGGTCATAAGTCGCTCGTTTACCCTCTTCGAAAAGGAAAAAAAATAATCAAATTATAGCTAAAAAAAGCCACACTGTTTTAAGTAATTTTTCTGCTTTAATAAAAATTCAGGTGAGCTGATCGTTATATTTAATTCAGTAGATTGTGGCTCCTTTTAACAAGGTCAGTTTCTCTAAAGTCCAATCTGCATGATGAAGGGACGTGTTAGTGACAGAGAAAAACGATGCCAGTGGCTAGCAGGTTTAAATCATTATAACTTGCTGCCAGAGGAAATGTCGTCAATATATTTAAGAGAGAACATAGGAGTTTAGGCTTCGAAGCAGACAATTTTCGAAAAAAGCTCCTAAAGGAAGATTCGGTGTTCCACTGCGTTGTTCTACAAGCTGGAGATTTTCTTGCGAAAGGTTTGTGGGGAAATTGAAAATGGGGAGAAGCTTCAAGACAAGTGAGAAACTAATCCATTGACCACAACTAGGTCGTTGCATCTGGCCGAGGATGAAACTCATTTGATAAGTCAGAAAATTGTTGTGAAAGATAATTTACCAAAGACAAACACACAGGTGTTTTGATTTGAACCAATGGGTTTTTCTCAACACTTTACCTAAGCGGCTTTCACATATTTACTTTAAACCTAATATCATGCGTGGAAAAACGATCTTATCAATTTCGTCTGGGGTCTCAAGACAAATGCAAAACAAACATTCCAATGACTTCGTACCATAAATAAAGCCCATAGCACTTCTTCCTTAAACTTGCTCCAGCACCACGCTGTCTGTTTTCTTTCTACAAGAAAAGTAACAAGGAGATGGAAGAAAAAGTGGCACTGAACATTTTGTTCCTGTTCTCAATTCTTCTGATCCAAGGATCCTATGTTGAAGGAATATTAGGAAAAGATACCAGGCCGGTAAATAACCTTATTTGATTCGATAGGAGCCATTGTGATTCTTCCCAAATTACACCAGTGTGTCGAAACTACGATCTAGGAAAAAGATACTTAACAAAGCATTATCAGTTATTATCAATTGCATAGGAAATTGGCCGGCTTTTGAGTATGGCAATGTATTTGTAGTTCGTAGAACCACGCTCTGACAGTTACGTTGGCAATTAAGTTTTTCTTCCTTGGTAGGCGTGCAACGCCGCAAGTAGCATGAAAAGGCATGCACGACGAATCTGTTCGACTGCTCCAGGGCTGGATTGTGATCAGATCCTGCGGGACGACTACTCAGATTATGAGAGCCAGGAACAAGGGATTTTCTAAGCAATAATGTGTGAAAAGTTTAATCAAATCAAACGTCGTTAAGATCATTTAAAATCCAAAGGTAAAACAAACACAGGAAATGAAAACTTATGTCTGATATTTTTTATGTTTTTCTCCTTGGCCTAGTTTCACTTATTGTTAATTATCAGATAAATTAATGCTGTAATAAACGGCGTTCCAAATTATCTGCTGTTGGTATTAAACGGCGGTCCAGTAACTGCCCGCGAACAAATGCCCCATAACGAATAAGAAATGGTGTTTGCAACGCGCCTTACTCACTTTCGCATTCATATTTAAAATGATAAGAAAATACCCTCTGACGAAAAATACGTTGTTAAAAAGAAGTACTCCGCGCAGTAAAGGTGAAGTGAGGCAAAATATACGCTGTAAAGGAGAAGTTCTCCACGCAGTAAAGGATAAGTTCTGCACTGAACTGAACGCAGCAGAAAGGCGACTGTGTCAGTGTCCAATTCAATCCTGTGGGATTTGAACTATTTTCTCAAGCAGAAAGGTGTCCTTTGTTCCATTAAATTTACATAGGTACAAACAGGAAGCCGTTACGGACTCTTGGTGCAGACCAAGTGAATACTCTGTCTCATCATTAACGATATCTTGACTGAGCCAGACTTCAAGCGCTGTTTCTCGACTTGTAGGAGTTTATCAGAACATTATGAGAAATTTTAAGTAAGAGTATGCCCTTGGCTTAGTGCAAAATGGGTTCCCTTACTCTTCCCCCCGCCTCCCGCAACGTTTGAATGTTCTGTCGCCTTTGTTAAATCTTAATGGGAAACAGCCTTCTCAAGAACAATTTTATTAGGGGATTGAGCATTGTCGTTGGATCAAACAAAAAGAGAACTTTATCATAGTTCAACCGTTCATCCAGGTTACTCTAAATTGGCCAACACTTCTGTGCAGTCTATTGCGGGTTTTATGATATCTCGCGAGTAACGATCTAAAGCCTGACCATTTTAGCTTTTCGACGCCATTTCGGACTGACTGACACACATGGCCTCGATGTCATGCGATAACTGTGGGGAACCGTAATGAATGCGTTTTAGAAAGAGTGAAAACTCACCAACTGGGTATCGCTCAAACGTAACTTTTTTTAATTGTCTTACGCTTTTCCCATATGATTTACATCAAACATAGTTAAAAGTTCCAAGTCTGCTGAGATCCTAAGCTTCCATCATCTTCAGGGTGGTCACGTCGAACTTTTTCACAGTCCATGCGTCGGGCAATCGAACATATCTGTCTTCTGACCAGCCTTTTCTTACAGTTCTGTGATTGACGAAATGAGATATGTCACATAAAAGAACGCGAATACTCTCTAGAACTTAACTAAAAGATAAGAAAGAACTACCTTTTGAATCAGACGAAGACATTTTTCAAAAGCTGGTGTAACTAGTTCGTTGCTAACCAAAAGAGGAGTGATGGTTGGTGCTTTCACAAAGCTTGATTTTAGGGACAGAGAGAAGCATTTTCTCCTAAATAACGCTATGTTTTAACTCGAACTTGATCATGATTATGAGATAAAGCTGGATTTGCTCAACTGATATTTCTGATAAGGCAAAATATGTACTCTACAGTTAACAAACTGAGAAACTTTACCGGTCTGGGATCTTTTTTAGTGCAAAACATTCCAATTCCAAAGCTGTTGTCTATGAGAAGAAGAGACAACATAAGTATAGCAAACACCATTCTCTTGTGCATCGTGTCGACTTTCAGGACGTTGGCAAGGTTTGTTTGTTAAGCTACGAGAACGAAGCGGGCTTTTATGCCAACCAGATTAGAAAAAAATTCAACTGTATCTTCTTTGTTCTGCAACACCCACTGTTTAAAATTTGCAATCGAGAGTCCTGCTCGTTGGTAAATGTTGTAATTAACTTTTGTTCAGCACGTCTTTATAATTGGCTCATCAAAATGCCTCCATGAATTAATTTTTTTATTAGGCGAATTAAGACTCATATCACGTAGACGTCCAATTTGGCATTAATTCTTTTTTCGGTTTCATTGTCTCAAAGGACGGTCGGAGCCACCACACAGGTGTTGTTCTCTACAATATATTGATAATTTCTGACGGTAAAGACTAAAGACTGCACAAATATAACAACATCATGTGATGCTAGTAGCTCCTTTTCATTTGGAGGCGAGCTGTTGATTGATTAAAGGCTGTCTGCAGAGGAAGACGGGAATTAGTTGGCCTAGGCTGAAGAAAACTTCTTTTAGTCTACAGTATATTCAGAGTTTCTTTCTTGAGTCGATGTAGCCTTAATCATTTTAATTTGTGTTGGCTAAAGATTAGGCCATGCGCTTAAGTTGTAGCATATATTTGAGATAGTCGTATGACGCTATATTGACGGACTTTGAGCCTATGGAACCTACGGAAATAACCTCGAAATAAGAGGCGAATAAACCACGTGTGGAAAATGAGGCATAGGGAATAGCGAAGATGATGAAGAAGAACTTTACAAAGTAGAACTTGAAATGATTTAAGCTAAGTGTTTTCAAGATGGACAAACTGTGAGGTGGTGCCTTAACGCTGGATCGTTTACCTTTAGTTCGGCTAAATTAACAAGTTTTCATTGACTGGTCAAACCTTTGGAAAGTCATAATCCCATAAAAAGGGCGATTGTTGTAAGCGAGGGAAGGAAGAGACAAATTGTCTTTAGATAGTCTTTTTTAGGAGGGCAAATCTCTATTGCTTTGTCATGATGATTTGGGCGACAAAAAAACAAATGAAAGGAACTTAATCCAATTTAGCAAATTTTTGTTTAAGGTGCAAGTCTTTTTAATTTTTCAATAACCTAAAAAACCTCTCATAAGTTTTTCTTCCCTAATCTGACTGTGTCTACGGCATCTTTTGAATCTTGATGGTAGGGTTCCTTTTTTATGTCTTTTTGTTTGTTTTTAACCATGCTACTCCTTTCCTGACTCTCACTAGCCGGGTAACCGTATGGTGCCTGCGACTTTCTGATGGATACAGGTGCGTTATTCAACTTTATTTTCTGGAGCTTTCAAGCATTCTTTCCTTCAGAACGGTTAGCGTCTAAATAGCATAAAGAACGACAATGAAGCTTACGCTATGTGTAACGATTTTCCAGCTGTTTAATTTGAAAACAGGCCTTAAAAAAGGAAGCAAATTGTCTCAGAAAATTGATGATTTGCTTTAGCACTTTAACACGAATTTCCTAGAGTGATACATTCCATGAATGGATCACCATTTTAAAGGAATATGAAGTAAAACGCAGGGGAAAGAACGGGAAATGACAATTAGAAATTTAGAGTAGAGAGATATTTTGAGATAGGTTTTTAGCAGCCTTGCCGAGCAGGCGTTAATGAACCGAAAATTGACAGGCACCCACTGTGACCTCGCCTTGGTGTTCAAATTCATTTAATGGCCAATAAGAGAATCCCAGCTGATCAAATAGATGGACGGATGGATGGGTGCATACATGGAGTAATGGGTATATTTAACATCAATTTATCATAATCAAGGAATGTGGCGTCTTTACTAAAAGGTGAACATGGTAAATGCTCCGTCTAAGAAGATTGTAAGATCGTTAGCGCCTACATATTTAGTTAGCCTATTTTTTCCTACATAGGGCGTGTGAATGCGCCTTTACACGTGTAATTTATTCAAAATGCTCTCGTGGCTTCGGCAGTTTAAGTTTCGTCGTTTTGGCAAGAACGTTATTCAGTTCCTTTTGGCTTACTTAGAAACACAACTACAGTATACACTACAGTTTATGTGGCCATTCCAGGGCTGTGACAAATTTAAGTGTCATTTTTTGGTAATTGTCTATTTAGGTTTTGTGTCTCTTTCGGCTTGGGTTTTTTATTGTAGCGTTTGTTTATACGTATATTTCTTTCAGTTTTTAGCGCACGTTACGCTTAAGTATAGCTCTACCGCAAGGTACCTTCGCACAGCTTTTCAAGTCAATAAAGATTAAATGCGTGTCAAAATGTCATTCCTGGTGCCGGCATCGAATCCGCTGTGTTGGCAGTTATAAAGATAATCCGGGAACAACAACTTATGCATAATTTTTTCCTAAAGCAATAACACTCTAGCTCCTAACGAGATTGTGTAAAATGTCGATTTCATTTGCAACTTGCAAACGTTTTGAATTAACTCTGACGGTTTTCCAAAGTATTAAACGTGAATGAAACAGCCCAAAATATGTGCGGGAACTATACTGGAAACGACTTTTACCCTGCATATCATGCGGGGCGAAAATCGTTTACGTGCATTCTGAAATTAGGTATCTGCGAGTCGCACATTTGTGTCTGATATACTCCATGATATGCCCGATAAAATCCCCAAAATTATCTTCTGTAGACTTTAAATGTTCGACAGCGGAGTACCTGACGACCTCTACTTATGACTAATATGCGCCGATCAAAGGGCGACTAAATTCTTGGCTGCCAACACAGGTACTCGTTGTTTGGGTTTTTTTAAAGGGGAGGAGGGGGTGGGGCATTCAGCGCCATGGTCATTTACTGATGATTATTCCCGGCCTAAAGGTTGCAATATTTAAAATTCAGAAAGTTTCAGTATGAGTTAGTGTCGAGTCTTAACCCCCCTCCCCTTTCCCCTCGTATGGTGAAATGACCTAACTATTGTAGAACGCTCCCTTGGGTCCAACTGAACCATTTCTTCCAATGGAAATTTACTGCACGTTTTGTTAATACATTATATCCTTTTCCCCTTGACTTGCATAAGAGTTTGCATTCTGATTTTGCCCAGTAATTGAATATGAAAGTAAATAAATTTAGGTTCACACAGAGTATCCATATAAAAGTTTGCCACATCTTGAACGTTAAGGCTAACAATCTATATACCAAAAAAATCTTATCATTAATTTTCTTCGCATAGATATTTATTAATTTTTTAATACCCACACCATTAAAATTATCTTTGAATACGGTTCTGCTACACCTAATTTAATCTTTCTTGACGTGATTACTCCCTGAATGTCTTGAATCAGGTCTGAGTTGGATCCTGACTGAAGCCTGATTCTTCCAAAACGTCTGTTACGAAAAAAGTGGAAAAGACACCAGAAGGCTGAATGAACCCGCATAATCGACCCACTTTCAAACTAATGTCCTAAGCATAATGCAAAGAAATCGGAAGACAAATGAGTTTTCAAATGATTTTTTTTATTCCTCTCCTGTAATATAACAAAAAAAATTGGAAAACTTTTCAAGCAATCTTTTCTATCCCAACTAAATACATTGCAGAATTTCGAGGGGGTCTTGTGTAACTTGAAATAAAATTTTCTATTTTTGGGAAAAGAGAAAAACAAAAGAATGGACAGGCAAGCAGAGTTAGCCGATATCACTGAAGCAGGAGACCGAAAAGAGCGTGCGGGGATCTGAGATCCTGAGCATGCTGAATTTTTGTTATATTAGAAATTGCCATTTTTCACCCGTTACCCAATCACAATTCCAAACGGGAGCCAGATCAGAGAAAAACCTCCCATATATTTCCACTAACCTTTCAGATGCAGATATATCTGACAGACAGATACTTGAATGATCCATAGCACGGGTCACCGAAAACTGAGTTACTTGCATGTATCTCACAGATGAATCTGCCGTTGTATTTGGCCATTAGTTTCGAGAGGGAGCTCGATGCATGACAGGAAGTTGTACGAATATTAGAGTGTTGGCAGACGTAGCGGTTACGTCTCCCGTAAGACGTGTACGTTACAGAAATCTTTTTCCCATATGTGCACCCAATAACTGCTTTGCCATGCTCGCAAATAATAATGGAGGATAGGTATGCTAAGTAAAAGAAAGAGAGACAAAATTTCTGCCTCAATTAAACAACCGAACTCTTCCAAAAGTTGATAACAGAAAATAAATTAAATCTCCCATGCCGTTGGCTGAGTAAAGGGGAGAGATGGTTTCAACCCTTAAAAGTTTTTGGACATAACTGTTGAAAACCAGCTTCTGGAGATATCAAGGGAAAAGTGAAGAATGACGTAACAATTTTTTAGGTCATAGATAAATAATGAAATTAATAAAAATTATGCTTTTGGCAAACGTGTTTAGCTAAATAAGTTTGTTTTACGGACACACGGCATTTGGGGGCGTAAGGTCCACTTAAGAGACGAGAAAAGTGAAAAAAGTTTATCCCACGCTTTTATCTCAAACAGAGCAATCTATCTTAAGATAAATGGCCAAACCTCCCTAGAGTATTGAAAGTAGAATTGGAGAGATTCCTCCACACCAACCCCTTTCCCCTCCCCTCCCCCCCTTTTCTTCCTTGTTCCCCATCCTCCATACGGAACTGGGGTCTGAAGGTTCAAAACTTACTTGGGCACTTCGAATAGGTTACGGTTTGTTCCACAAAAGTCAACAACATAATGAATACCACCATCGCAATCAATTTTTAAGCAGCCATGTCTAAATTTGAAAAAATAAAAAATAAATCTGTGTAGCATTTCCACGTAATATATACTATGACTTCGGTGAAAAAATTCCAGGGTTAATTCATAGTTTGAGCTATTTACAAAATCGATCAATGGGAATCTTTGAAGCATCGATTTAGCCGGAAGATCTTAGTTGTCCGTATGACAAACTTTCTGCCCTGGTTTAAGAGTGTTGGTGGGCCTGCGTCTCCTGCCATTTGCGAGCGATTTTAAGCCTCCTGCCTTCAAAGTTTAGCTCGTATCAGGATACAGGATATCTTTCCTTTACAATAATTATAGTAAGAGGGGCGGCTTCTTAAATATTGTCCTT